AATATGACAGTGAAACCATGTTCCATGAAAACACTGGCAACTATATATAGCAGCCATCTGTATGGTCATTGACTGTCCCATTTAACCTGTGGAGAACTATACTAATTCAGGCTGGTAGGAAGTAAAAGGTATAAAACAGCATTGCAAAAAGCCTAAGGTATGTGGAAAAGAGGATCAGCTGAGACAGTTGGTTTAACCTTGCAACTATGAAGTGCTGTTTTTCGCCCTCAGTTCAATAAAGGCAATGCTTCATGGGAACAGGAAAGTCAGAAGCAATCCCTATGACAAAAAATGTCTGTATTTTGATTGATGTTTAAACCTCTTATAATACTCGCCTCTTGCACTTCTATGTCTTTTGTTTTTATCCTGCCCTTTATTATACTTCTCTTCCTTTAACTCAACACTTTAGGCCTACTTCTCCACCCTATTCTGTGGGCTGCTCCCTCTAACAGCAGTTGTTCACATGTATAATGCCAGAAGCCTTGCGAGAAACTGACATTAATGCGAAAAATGCTGCTAATGATTCAGAGTGGGACAGCATGCCATGATGTCCTCAGGGATAAACAAATATAATAACTGGTTAATTAGAGCTATGAACAAAAATCATCCTCAGTAACTTATTCTTCAACAGCTTGCAAAATCTGAAAGGAAAATAACACGTCAAAATGTGAATGCTAGCCTGTTCATTCTTATGATGATGGATAACAGTTCCTTCAAAAACCTTAATATTTTAAGTAGATATTTCAGGACACACACACGGTGAATTGGAAAAATCGCAAATATTGGGGGCCTATTGTTTTCAATGGCCATGCGCTCCTGTGCGTGGCCCCGCATGTGCGCCATGGGGGGATGCGCCATTTTATCCCTCCCTGCCTGCCGATCCGCGAAAAACTGAGACTGTGGAAAAACTGAGTCAGTGAATGGGGAGGGACGACTGTATTGAGAAAAGTGAAGGCTAAGAGGAATGTGACCAAGTGGAAAAAGAGCTACTAAACCCATCCACTCATAGTATTTCAGGGGTAGATTTTGTACATCTGTGGTTTTGATCAAATGCATCAGATCAGAATCAAAATAGATAAGTAGTCTGATGCCTAGTCAGAATAGACTAAGCCAGTGGTTCTCAAATTATGAGGTGGGACCCCAGTGGGGGGGCAGAAGACTTGGAGGCCTTGGTCCCTTCTCCCATTTCCAAACTTTTTCATGTGTAAAACTGACACATGCATTGTTAAATACTGAATTTACTGTATATACTCAACTATAAGTCAACATCATGTATTAGTCGAGGGAAGGTTTTGGGGCCAAAATTATGGGTTTTGATATGACTCATGGATGCGGAGTGTAAAACTTAGGGGCATGTAACAAAGGATCTAAAGCAGGAGTAGGCAACCTTTTTGAGC